TAAATTAGGAAATTTACTGTTAGAAGCTAATACCTCGCCAGAGCTTATGTCATGGATGGTGGCATCAACCCCACCATCTCGCACGCATTGAAGCCTTCGCACCCCGCCTCGACCTGGTCCAAAAGTAGCCGCCATCGAGCCATGCTTTCCAGTGAGTGGCTGTTCCTTATGATCCTCAGAAGTGGTATCAGTATCTACACTTGCACTATCTGAAAGTTCATCCACAAGTGGAATCCTGCTTAAAGAGGCCATTGGTCGAGATACGCTAAGTGGAGGAGGCACTGTATTTTCCTCCCTCGCGACAGCAATTGCTGGCTCTGCAGCGCTCACAGCTGCTCGCTTTCTGGGGACCAGTATTAGCATGAGAAGTGGCTCTCGTTTTGTGTCTACGAGCAGGCGCTGGGGCCACCTCGACCTCAGGAATAGAGGTTGCTATGGCGGATCGTGAGGACTCCCCTTGTTGCATCGCGACCGGTGCAAGATCAGGCACGAAGCTACATCGCACGCCACTGTCATAATCCATAGGGGGCCTTAATGAATAGTCCCCTGCGTATATCACCTTCGCCTTTGCTCACTGGACAGGACTTGAACAAAAATCCTTCCAGCTTGCTAATTCTATAATCCCAAATGAGCGCGTTACCTCCGTGCACATGGGCACTCTATCCCTCCCTGGCAAGAATAGAACACCAACCCCTTCTCATAGCAGTCTTATGTGAGCCGCTATAAACCTCGCAAAGCTACCGTCATAGGAGTCCTTGCCCCCAACAAATATTTACTGTGAGGACACCGCCTTATCATAACCAAATTGCAAAGGCACCCTGCGAGGATTATATGTCTTTAGTATTTAACCACCCTCCCATATAGCGGGCAAATAGCATGGGTTGGTGACCAGTAAAAACACCAACACCTCACTTGTGTTTAGTCAATGAGCCCTTACTGGAATGCTCATCATTCTCAAAGTACATGGGCATAGTCAATACCCTAGGTAGGACCCCGGCATAAGGGCGAGCAACAAATTGGAAGCTTTAGTCCAAGGCATACCCCAGCCGTCCTCGAGGAAGACTCCCATGCCACTTCATCCCTCGCACAACCTCTTCATCCACAGCTAAGTCTGCAAGAGTTGGGGCATAGGACTAAAACCTCTCGTACAAAAACATCTGTAAGAAGGGGTAGAAGCATAAGAGGCATGGACATAGCGACCAACAGAGCGCACCATATCCTCCCCCACCATATTGAGGCGATGGTACAATGTCCCTAAAAATAAAGGCGCGAGTGCCACTTTCACTCTTTAACTTCACTACAAGCTCCAGGAAACGCGGCAAGGGAGCATCTTTAAGGGTGCCCTCCAATATGTATCTTGACAGCCAGCACAGTAAGTAGGCTACGAGACTAGATAAGTGATCAAGCTAAGGACCTGGAATCCCCTTTCGCCCCTCATCCGAGAGATCTGTCCTAGACATAGGAAAATCCCTAGAGTAATAACGCACCAGAGCACCAAGAGTAGCCTTACGCGTGCCCTTGCCTCAAGAAGTACGGCAAACACCCTGTTTACCCCACAATGTTTTGAAGTTTTTGGTTTTATCTAAAGCTGTCTCGAGATCTTGAGCCAAAGCCTCTTCACTTTGAGAGAACGCCTAAGAGCCAAGATTTCTATACCTTAAAAGGGTAAACCTAATAGCTGGCTCACATCCTCAATTGTGGGTGTAAAATCTTCCCACGGTGCAACGAAGGTGTGCGAGCTCGAGCTCCATTGAGAAGTCAACTCCCACAAACCGGCAACGTCGCGAGGAATATGTAGTCAGCGAAATAACTTAATATAAGGTAATAGGCTCGTTGCAGTCAAAGTCGCCTCATACACTGGATTGGCAAGGATCGCGTCAGTCCATGCCTCCCAACCATGGCCAGGGCTAATATGACTCGAGAAGTTCACATAAGACCATGGGTATCACCCTTGCTCAAAACTAAACCTTAAAATTGTATCTGCAAGGATACGCAAAGCTAGGTTAAGGTCCAACTCCTCCTCTATCAACTCTACCACTTCCAGTGGTTCGTCGGTAACCACAACCTTGCTTTCCCGGTGCCAAAACAGGTCATTTTTACTAAAGAATGGTGCTCGCCGCCATTCCGAGTCGGCTGGCACCTTAGGAGGAGGGCAATCTTTCTTGCTTAGTTTTTGCTTCTTACTAACCATGATAGCAATCCCACAAATTGAGTAAACACGAGCAAAATTTCAAGTTTTGCAAGCTCTCTTCGCCGGCAATAATGGAGGTAAAGGCAAGAACAGTAGCCTTTAGTTCTCTCTTTTCACCATTAACCCCTCACACCATCATTTGCCCCTTTTTTAAATAGTTCCCTCGCCTCAGGAACTCCCAAAATCGAAGCGGCAACAGACAGCGCATTAATGACTTGAGGTGACCTTTCAATCTCACGTCCGTTCGATCCCCTAGAGTGAATAAATGACCTAGCCGTCTAGATTTGCACGCGCAACAATACATTTTGAATCATCGCACATGTAAGGGGACAAAATGTGGGTGTCACTTAATAAAAGCTGACATGGCATGTTGACAAGTCAAAACGACGCTAACCAAATCCCCCATGGCGATTTGAAAAGTCAAAAGTCTCGAAGGACCAACCCTCGAGCACCCTAAGCCCTAGTATCGCTCCAGGCCCATCAGCCTCGAAGGATCAAACTTCGAGCACCCTAAGCCCTGGCATTGCTCCAGGCCCATCAAGCTTCGAATGATCAAACTTCGAGCACCCTAAACCCTAGCATCGCTCTAGGCCCATCAAGTCTCGAGGAACCAACCCTCGAGCACCCTAAGCCCTGGCATCGCTCCAGGCCCATCAAGCCTCGAGGAACCAACCCTTGAGCACCCTAAGCCCTGGCATCATTCCAGGCTCATCAAGCCTCGAGGAACCAACACTCGAACACCCCAAGCCCTGGCTGATCTCCAGGCCCATCAAGCCTCGAAAGACCAACTCTCGAGCACCTAAGCCCTGGCATCGCCCCAAGCCCAGCCAGCCTCGAAGAACTAACCTTCGAGTACCTCAAGCCCTGGTGTTATGCCAGGCAATACCACTTTGAAGAATTGGAGCCCTAAGGGGCTCTCCATCAAAGGTTTGCATATAGCATGGAACGAAGGTAGGGTCTTCGCGGCTATAAGGAATCTATGTTTGGGAAACTTAGGAGGATCTTGGATTAGTGGATGAGAAGCCAAGAGGTGCCTTCACTCTTAGCAAGGCCCAATTAACAAGATGATGGGATTATACATGTTATGACAACAAACCTTAAAATCACATTTAATGCCGCGTCAGGCTTGACCAACCGATGGCTAAGTAACTTTTAATGCCCTTAATTAAGGGAGAAGTGACATGGCAATGTAGTGCAAGGCTCGATGAGAGGATTAGACTCTTCAGACTCCTAAACCTCCAGGATTACTTACGTAATCCGGATTGGGAGTAATGCATGCGAGAAACCATGCACGGAAGAGACCATTGGATAATGACCAATGGAATCCGGGCCTATAAATAGTACTGTCCTATGAAGGAATAACCAACCCAGAGGGGAAGCTGTCATAAGATATTGTATACTTGTCCTACCACCATCTTAATCTTGATGATTGGTCTTCTTCTCCTCCTTCTACACTAAGCGCATCCTCTATTTCCTTCGTATTTTTATTCTTGATATCAATGTTGTATATTTATTTATTGTTTGATTAAAAAGAATCCCTGCACCTTCTCAAAAAAAAAAAAATTAAAATTGGTACCTTACAAAAAATATATAGTGATGAAATTTATGTGAGTCACACATGCTTTGCTATTATGTGGGACAGCCTTTGAAATTTCGGAGCACCATAGTAGAACTTTCCATGCATTGTTTGTTACCTTCCTGTCTAAATTTCTTTATAAGGTAGGCTGGTCCCTCCTATCTATTTATATATATATCTATATATATTGTCAAACCTCAAGATAAAAAATACGGAGTAAAAATTAGAATGGGCGCAATTCGATGTTCATTGATCAACATTGGACGCTGATGCGATTCAATATGAGATATGATCTACTGCATCTCTCATATATATATATATATATATTTCAATTATATTGTTTTAGAATTTTTTGTTCGCGATATGGTAAGTAATTGTGATTCGATATGAGATATGATCTACTGCATCTCCCATATATATATATATACATATATATTTCAATTATATTGTTTTGGAATTTTTTGTTCACGATATGATAAGTAATTATTAATCGCTAACAATACTATGTGTGTCTCTCTCATATTCAACCGTCACAGTTATATATATATATATATATATATATATTGCAATTATAATGTTTTGGAATTTTTTGGTCACGATATGGTAAGTAATATTTAATCGCTAACAATACTACGTGTCTCTCTCATATTCAACCGTCACAGCTCTCAATGCGTTACTTGATGAGCAAGCGTTACCCGTCTTTTCACACCTCACACCCTCCTAAATTTTCTCTCTCTAAGGTTCCTCTCTCTCTCTCTCTCTCTAAATGCTCTCTTGCACACAATTCAGCTCGCCGTTTTAACCTTCTTAAACTGTGGTCTGTCATTTAATGCACTGACCACTCCTACATCCTGCGTTGTTCAAGGGTCATTACATTACATATATATATATATATATATATATATAACAGCCCATAACACCACTCATTATATTCATACAATCCGACCCCTCACAACCCACTCACTCTCATGCAAAAAATCTCACTACGAGAATAAAACCATCGCTCTAAGTCCTAGAGTATATGTAAGTGTTTATATATATATACATATATATATATCTATAAGTATTTATTTGAATAAAATATTCACTCTATAGGACTTCTGTACCAAGTACCATAATCTTGATCCAGCCTATTTAAGCTCTCAAACCCTTCTTTCTGTATTCACTCTTCATCACTGCATCTCTCTCTCTCTCTAAAACACGAACTCTTTCTCTCTCTAAAACAGAACCAAAATGGATTTTGGTGTGGTTTCTAAGGATACAAACTGGTGGTTTTTTACACTACCAGCTTTTCTTGGATCTGAAAATTTGCTAGATGGGTATGTTGTTTTCTCTCTCCTAGTGGGTTTTGTGTTTCTCTCACTACTCACATGGGTTTGCGCCGCTGGTGGCATAGCTTGGAAAAATGGTAGGAACCGAAGAGGCCGAGTTTCGATCTCTGGACCTATAGGTCTCCCCATCTTCGGAAGCCTCTTCACTCTCAGCCGTGGCTTGGCTCACCGCTCTCTGGCTTCCATGGCCTGGACCAGAAAAGCCACCACCCAGCTCATGGCTTTCAGCCTTGGCTCGACGCCGGTGGTGGTGGCGTCTGACCCACACGTGGCTCGTGAAATCCTGACCTCCCCTCACTTCGCCGACCGTCCGGTGAAGCCGTCGGCTAAGAGCCTCATGTTCAGCCGAGCCATCGGTTTTGCGCCGAACGGGACGTACTGGCGGCTCTTGAGACGAATCGCTTCGTCTCACCTCTTCGCACCCCGGCGCATCGCAGCCCACGAGGCCGGCCGCCAGCTAGACTGCACCTCCATGCTGCGCAACATAGCAGACGAGCAAGCACTCAACGGGGTGGTCACGTTAAGGAAGCATTTGCAATCCGCTGCCCTAAACAACATCATGGGTAGTGTGTTCGGAAAACGTTACGACCCGGCGCACGATAGCAAGGATCTCCAGCAGCTGAGGGACATGGTCCGAGAAGGTTTCGAGCTCCTGGGCGCTTTTAACTGGTCCGACTATGTTCCATGGCTTAACTATCTCTACGAACCGTTTCGTATAACTCAGCGCTGTGCAGCTCTGGTCCCCCGAGTCAGACAACTCGTCCGAGTCATTATTGAAGAACACGAACACAAACGCATTGACTCAGTCAACCTCTCTGATAATGCTGATTTCGTTGATGTTTTGCTGTCTCTTGATGGTGATGAGAAACTCCATGAAGATGATATGGTCGCTGTCTTATGGGTATGTCATACTATACATAAATATGTATATATATTGTATAAATATATACAATCATGATTATATATATATATATATATATATATATATATAAATGTTTGGTTTGATATTGTAATGCAGGAGATGATATTTAGAGGGACTGATACTACTGCTTTGTTAACTGAGTGGGTTATGGCTGAGTTGGTGTTGCACCAAGAGGTTCAAGAAAAGCTTCAGAGAGAGCTCCAATCCGCTGTGGGGAGCAACACCGTAACAGATGCTGACGTGGCTAAATTGCCTTATTTACAAGCGGTCGTGAAGGAGACTCTGAGGGTCCATCCGCCGGGCCCGCTCCTGTCGTGGGCCAGGCTGTCCACGTCGGACGTCCAGCTCAGCAACGGGATGGTCATACCCGCCAACACGATGGCCATGGTCAACATGTGGGCCATCACGCATGACTCGCGCGTGTGGAAGGAACCGCTGGAGTTCAAGCCGGAGAGGTTTGTGGAGAGTGAGGGCGGTGCCGACGTGGATGTGAGAGGCGGTGACCTGAGGCTCGCACCGTTTGGGGCCGGACGAAGGGTGTGTCCGGGCAAGAACCTAGGGCTCGTGACGGTGAACCTCTGGGTGGCTAAGTTGGTGCGCCACTTCAAGTGGGTCCCAGATGTGGCGAATCCAGTTGACCTAAGTGAGGTCTTGAAGCTGTCTTGTGAAATGAAGTGCCCTCTCTCAGCTGTGGCTGTGCCAAGGAATGTTTAGTCTTTATGGCTTTGTGGTTGACTCTTAATTATTATTATTATTTAATATTTTAGTGAAGGCTTGTTTGTTGCAGGGTTAGTGAAATACGGAGTATTATTTTGGTTTGGTAGGATTTGGTGTAGGAGGCTGTATCTAGTATAATACTGTGCTACTACTTTTTGTTGCCGGTTTTATTACTATTATTTTTCTTATTATTATTATTATTATTATAATTATTATTATTGTTATATGTTAATTATTTGCTGTTTTTGGGTTTTTATTGGGGTGTGAATGTTTTTGCATTAGAAAATGTTAAAAGGGCTCCAATTTTGAAGCATGTTGTTGTATGGAATCTTTGTTTTGTGAATTACAATGTAGACTTTTTATTATTTACATTTTTAATTGTGGATTTAATATATTTTTAAACTTGTTTGATCGGATCAAATGTTATTTTATGTAGTCTGGAAAATTTTAATTATAGTATTTATCTATATATAGGGTGCAAACACGTTTAATCAACGGCGTTGAAGAAAATTCTGTGTGCAGACTGCAGAGAGGAGATCAAATTGTGATTCAAGTTAAATTTAAATAATTATTTCTCTGGGCATGAAATTCACGTTTAAGTGATAGAATTAAAAAAATTAATAATTCGACACTACCAATCGTGATATAATTTCAAAGCACTAATTGGATAGAGCACCATAAAATAGAATATTATTATTTTCGTTATAATGGACACAAAGTATAACGCCACAACAGTTATTAGGATAGGAAGCTTCATTGCAGGGGTTATATTCCAGAGGAAATGAGAAATTCTCGGGTTGAATTAATTGGGTTTGTTACTAACAACTTTGAATGCATGTTTAACGTGAATTGATCGTTATTTGACAAGTATAATTTTTGGAAATGGTTAATAGCTAGCTAATTATATATTGAACTGGTTTGAAATGTAATTAAATAATTTCTTGAAAATGCTAATGCTAAAAAGTGATTTTTTAAAGGAAAATATATATACTAATCTTCTTGGATCAATATCCAATAATCCAACTCGTTTAGGATCCTTTTTAAATAGTCCAAGACTTATATAATTAGTCCAAGAACTACAGCCCCAATTTATAACCTTTCAAAAATAAAATAAACGACCAATTTAACTACACAATTAAATATTTAAAAGCAATTTAATTAAAAAAAACACATTACACAAAGCCACATAATTCAAATGCATGAAGTCAAATAAATGAATGCAACTAAACAATTAGTCACATCATTAAATTTAAATTAAATCAAATAAAAATAATTAAATAAAAAAATAATCAAATAATCACACAATTAAATATAAAAGTAAATAATCAAATAGCCACATAATTAAATAAAATGCAACTAAAACATTAATTAATCTTCAGAAATTAAGGGTTTTACAGCTCGTCCAGCAAAGTCCTCCACGCGTGGCATGCCTCGCGCGCACAGGGGTGCGCAGGGGTGTCTTACGAGCGCTCGTAGGACACACCACGAGCGCTCGTGGTTAGGGGTTGCCCACTATTTTTTTGAAGGTTCTTCAATGGTTCTGAGATTCCTCGTGTGGGTCCTAAAGGGTGTATAGGAGGTTGGGAATGGTACAGGCTCACCGGGAAATGAGCAGAGTCACCGAAAATGACATTTTTATCCTTTTTAGCCCTAAAACGAGCGGACCTTGAACCATTTCATTTTTCTTCAATTCTAATTGACCCTAAGTAACCATACATAGCCTAGAAGACAGTTATACGGTCCCCAGTGCAATGCACACTCCAGAAAGACCTATTTACCCTTGTAACACTAAGTGACCCGAATGGTGATCGAGGTTGGTTCTTTCATTCGTAAGCATTCTAAGGTGATTAGAAATGACTTCTAAGACTTCATTTAGACTTATAATGCCGGGTACAGGTCATATAAACCATTTTACCTTTGATGTTCTCGGGTTGGGTCGTCACCCGGTTAGCAGTCCAGAGCCCCGGGTTTGGGTCATTACAGGTTCTATGTTGATGTCCTTGATTGCAACACGTTGGTGAAGGAAGGGATGACGGCGGCGACTAACTCATCTGGCCGCTAAAGGGGTATGGTGGGAACTGTTGTGGTGATTGTGAAGCACAGTGGTGGCGTTGGGGTTGTTTGTGGTGGGTGGTGGTGATGGTGGTAGGTGATGGCAATAGTTGTGGGTGGTGGTAGTGAAGGAAGGGATGACGACGGTTGATTCTCTAGGCCGCAAAATAGGTGCGGTGGGAACGGTAGAGGGGATTTTGAAGCGCGATGGTGGTGTTGGGCTTGGTTGTTGTGGGTGGAGGTGGGTTCGTCGGTGGGTGGCCGAAATGATTTTATTTTATTTTATTATTATTATTATTTTTTTCTCTCCCTAAGATTAATGGTGTCTACTAAAATGCTTTGAGGATGTTAAATTAGTAAATTTATAATTCAAATAAGTCAATTGGTTATAAGGATATCATTGTTCAATTTACTAAACTTAGGTGGTGTCATTGTCCAAAAAGTGTTTAAGTTGTAGTTACCTATCTTTAATCCAAACCTAGAGGAGTGTGAGTACAATTTATCCTAAATTTAAATAATGATTCCTTTGGACATGAATTCTTGTCTAAGAGATCGAATTAAATTTATTTCAGATTTTGCTATATATATATGATGGATGTATAATTTAAATACCCGTGGATAGGGGAAGATTGTTAAAGTAACGCGCTATCTCATAAGATTAAGATAGGCTCTACAGACTAAGATAAAGATTACAGGCTAAGATAAGGATTACAGATTACAAATGAGGATTACAAAATACGATAAGGATTAGGCCTACAGATTACGATAAGGATTAAGATGACGGGAACTCTACGTAACATCCTGACCTAAGCCCTATAAATAGAGGGGGCTAATCGTCGTTTAGAGGTACGCGATAAATCCTAATTCAATTTCTTGATTTCTCCAAAGAGATTATTTCTCACACTGACTTATTCGTCAGAGCCTACTCCACCGGTAACACACCGGTGTTTGTAAGATCATTTTTTCTTCTCTTTATTCAGGAAATCAGATTAGATCTGGGTTGCATAGAATCCATCATCAACAGTTGGAACATATTTTTGTTCTCTAAGCAAAGCATGGTTCGATTGCGATCTGGTCTGGCTGCTGGCGAGGACGAAGCGTTGCAGGCTTCTGATGAAGGGGACTCGACGTGGCAACCCCCCGTCGTCCCAAAGGATCAGGAACACGTCGCAGCATTGGAATAACAGGTTCAAACCTTAATCCAACAAAATGCGATGATTCTGCAACGCTTAGCCGCCCCCAACGAGGAGAGAAACAGTGAAGTACCCAACAATGACTCCTGTAGGGTTAACAACGATGTTGAGCTTAGTCAAATAGGGGGTCAATAGAGGAGCCATCACCATCGGTCCCTTGAACGGAATACCACTAGGCTCCGTGGAGATACTTCTAGTTATGTTGGTGATAAGACTGAGGACGCCACTCATTTCGATCTAGAAATTCAGGATCTGAAAGCTAGAGTTGACAACGTCATGCAAGCGATGAAAGGGAAGGGCCATGCTGCAGTGAACGATATGGTACAGAGAACCAACCTAGCTTTTAGCCCAGCTGTTATGAGTTGTCCTCTACCTAGAAAATTCAAGATGCCAACCCTTAAGAGCTTCGATGGGATACGGGACCCTCTCGACCATTTGGAGACCTACAAAGCTCTTATGTATTTACAAGCCGTACTAGACGAGAATATGTGTAGGGCTTTCCCTACCACACTAAAGGGTTGGGCTCGTCTCTGGTTCAATAAATTAAAACCAGGAACCATTGAAAACTTTGAAGAGTTGAGCAAACAATTCATAGGACACTTCATCGCTGGGTAGAGGCATAAGAGACCAACAACACATTTACTAAATGTGAAGCAGCAGAAGGGAGAGCCTCTCTGTGATTACATAAGTCATAACACTGAAATGCTACAGGTAGAAGATGTGGACGACAAGGTTGCCCTCACAGCCTTTATGGGAGGACTACAGACCTCTAAGTTCCTATTTTCCTTGTCAAAGGAAGCCCCTACGAGCATGACAGAGTTAATGGTTAGAGCACGGAAGCACATGAACGCTGAGGATGCTATGAATGCACGAAAAAACAAAGATGGTGAAGATAAGAGGTCGGATAAAAAGAGGCCAGCACCTAGCACTAGGGAGGAAAGGGAATCAACGTACAAGAAATTCTCAAACAGCCAGGCTGACAGATCATCTCGCCGTCCAGTGAGCTCAGGTAGGTATAATAACTACACCCCCCTGAATACATCTGTAGATCAGGTCTTTCTGTAGATTCAAGATGACACATCATTGAAATGGCCGCTAAAGCTAAAAGCTGATCCAACAAAGAGGTCTCGAGATAAATACTGTAGGTTCCACCAGGACCATGGACATAACACAGAAGATTGTTTCGACCTCAAAAACCAGATCGAGAACCTTGTTCATAAGGGTCATTTACGCAAATTTACGACTGGGAATGGAAAATGAGGCTCCAACCCAGCCCGAGAGGGCCGAGATGATCGCCCTCCTCAACACCAACCAATGGATGAGATCAGAGTTATATTACGTGGCTTCGCTGGTGGTGGGGAGACGAGTTCGGCTCGGAGGGCTCATGCCAGGAGAATTTGGAGTTTTTCAAAGGTGAATGAAGTTAGAGTGACATGTCCTCCAACAAAATTACCGCGAGTTGAAGAGCCAGTCATAACCTTTTCTGAAGAAGATGACAAGGGAATTCACCAGCCCCATGATGACCCTCTGGTAATTTTTATGGTCGTCGCTAATTTCACTGTTTGACGAATACTGATAGACAATAGTAGCTCGGCTGACATACTATTTATTGGGGTGTACGACAAATTAAAAATTGGCCAAGAGAAGCTCTGACCCATGAAGTCACCACTGGTGGGATTTTCAGGCGATAAAGTATATCCACTAGGGGAAGTTACCCTTCCAGTCATTGCAGGAGCCAATCCAAAGTAAGTCACTGTAATGGTGGACTTTGTAGTGGTGGACTGCCTATCATCAGACAATATTATCCTAGGAAGGACAACATTGAATGCCATGAAAGCAATCACTTCTACTTACCATCTCCTGATGCGTTTCCCAACTGAGTATGGTTTTTCAGAGGTGAATGAAGTTAGAGTGACAAGTCCTCCAACAAAATTACCACGAGTTGAAGAGCCAGTCATAACCTTTTCTGAAGAAGATGACAAGGGAATTCACCAGCCCCATGATGACCCTCTGGTAGTTTCCATGGTCATCGTTAATTTCACTGTTCGAAGAATACTGATAGACAATGGTAGCTCGGCTGACATACTATTTATTGGGGTGTACGACAAATTAAAAATCGGTCGAGAGAATCTCCGACCCATGAAGTCACCACTGGTGGGATTTTCAGGCGATAAAGTATATCCACTGGGGGCAGTTACCCTTCCAGTCACTGCAGGAGCCAATCCAAAGCAGGTCACTGTAATGGTGGACTTTTTAGTGGTGGACTGCCCATCATCATACAATATTATCCTGGGAAGGACAACATTTAATGCCATGAAAGCAATCACTTCCACTTACCATCTCCTGATGCGTTTCCCAACTGAGTATGGTATGGGAGAACTAAGAGGGGACCAAACAATGGCTTGAGAATGTTATGTCACCTCTCTTAGAAAAATAAAATCGCAAGAGGCACTTACTTTTATAGAGCGGAACCTACAAATGAGCTAGAAGAGGTCATCCTTGGTGATGGTGAGCCAGAGAAGAAAGTGAGTATAGAGTCTTTACTCCCCCCGGGTATCAAAGATGAACTTACTCAATTCCTCAGGAAGAATCGAGACGTATTTGCATGGGTGTATGAAGATATGCCGGGTATAGACCCCACTAACATGGAGCACTGCCTAAATGTAAATCCTAACTTCAAACCTGTCAGACAAAAGAGGAGGACTTTCATACCAGAAAGGAATCAGGCTATATCAGAAGAGGTGGAAAAGCTCTTAAAAGCTGACTTTATTCAAGAGGTGTACTATCCCGACTGGCTGGCAAATGTGGTCCTAGTGAAGAAGGCAAATGGAAAGTGGAGGCTATGTATGGATTTCACCGACCTTAACAAAGCTTACCCGAAGGATAGCTTTCCTCTCCCAAGAATCGATATGCTCGTTGAGGGAATGGCTGGATACGAACTACTAAGTTTCATGGATGCATATTCTGGATACAACCAGATATCTATGTAAACCTCAGATAGAGAAAAAACGGCCTTCATCACTGATAGAGGTTTGTACTGTTACAAAGTAATGCCTTTTGGGCTTAAGAACACTGGTGCAACATACCAGAGGGTAGTGAATGCAATGTTTAAGCACCAAATTGGTATAAACATAGAGGTATATGTTAATGACATGTTGGTGAAAAGCTTAAAAGCTGAAGACCATTTGACTGACCTACAGGAGACCTTCGAGGTACTTAGGAGGCATAAGATGAAACTCAACCCCAGCAAGTGTGCCTTTGGGGTTTCCTCAGGAAAGTTCTTGGGATATATGGTAAGCAGAAGAGGAATTGAGGCCAATCCAGAGAAGATCCGAGCAGTCATTGACATGAGATCGCCAAGATCAACCAAGGATCTACAACGACTAACAGAGAAGATTGCTGCCTTAAGTAGGCTAATCTCTCGGTCAACTGACAGGTGTCTACCTTTCTTTCATGTGCTAAGGAAGGCTTTTGAATGGACCCCAGAGTGTGAGCAAAAGTTCAAAGAACTAAAGCAATACCTTAGTTCTCCCTCACTACTGTCTCAAACCATACCGGGAGAGGAACTATACATATACCTTACAGTCTCCACGACAGTTGTCAGTTCAGCTCTGATTCAAGAAGAAGAAGGGGTCCAAAGGCCAGTATACTTCGTGAGCAGAGCACTTAGGGGTGCGGAGGAAAGATATCCAAGGATGGAACAGTTGGCTTTTGCTTTAATTGTGTCCGCTAGGAAACTAAGACCATACTTTTAAGCGCATATGATAGTGGTCCTAACAGATCAACCCCTTTGACAGGTCCTACACAAGCTAGAAAGCTCTAGTCGACTGATGAAGTGGTCAGTAGAGTTAGGAGAGTTCGACATTCTGTACAAGCCAAGAACAGTAGTAAAGGCTCAGGTGTGGGCTAATTTCTTAGCTGAGCTTACCCCTCTAGAAGAGGAGAAACAACCCCAATTTTCTATAGAACCAGGTTCAAGTGAGCAGATAGGCCCAGATGTAGTCTGGGACTTGTTCGTGGATGAGTCATCTAATGTTCAGGCTAGCGGAGCCGGGCTAGTTCTTGTTTCCCACAGATGGCGCCAACTATTGATGATGGATTCTGTGCAACCCGAATCTGATTTGATTTCCTGAATAAAGAGAAGAAAAAATGATCCTACAAACACTAGTGTGTTACCGGTGGAGTAGGCTCCGACGAATAAGTCAGTGTGAGAAATAATCTCTCTGGAGAAATCAAGAAATTGAATTAGGATTTATTATGTACCTCTAAACGACGATTAGCCCCCTCTATTTATAGGGCTTAGGTCAGGATGTTACGTAGAGTTACCATCGTCTTAATCCTTATCATAATCTGTAGGCCTAATCCTTATCGTATTTTGTAATCCTTATTCATAATCTGTAATCCTTATCTTAGCCTGTAATCCTTATCTTAGTCTGTACAGCCTATCTCAATCTTATGAGATAGCGCGTTACTTTAACAATCTTCCCCTATCCACGAGTATTTAAATATATACATCCATCAGTTGCCCCCCGTTTCGGAGGATTGGTTGTCAAACCACCGGAACGTTAATTCCCAAATATTACATAATAACAGATAATTAGAATTGTAGAACCGTTCACCCCGTATTTCTACAATAATTTAGTTTGATTGTGAGATAGTAGAGCCTTGTCCATTATCAGATTGCCACTTCGTGAATACAGTCAGGGGTCGAGCAGCCTACCTTTCGGCACATAAGTAACTCATGTGAGGCTGCCAGTGTGGTTGTCCTATTCGAGGATTAACTCATAATCCTATTATACCTTGTAAAAGTAAATTCTTCTACAAAATAGCCCACTAGGAGCTGCTTGTCCCTCACTAAGCAGATTTCTATTAGAATTCCACCATAAATATTTTCCTTATTTGTTTACGTTCTTCTACTATAAATCGAGATGGTCTGAGTAGAATTCATTAGAATTCATTTAGATTACTTCCAACTTCTAGAAAGCCAAGTAGTACCAGTCGTAGTGATGTGGTAAGTTCCATGCCCTTGTTTTCTTCATTCTTCTATTTAATTCGTTGTTGCTTCTTCCTCCAACTCAGTATACCAAGACCAAAGTTAGAAAATTTTATAGGTCACTGTGAAATTTTTATATGGAAGAGGCTGGTTTAGTGCTTCCAAATATGGTAGAATTTTAAAACACTAATTTGATACTTTCAAACTTAATATAATATAAATTAACTGTGTTAAGATTAAGCACAAAAAGTTAGCTAACAAAAATGTTTTTTTTTTTTTGGTGTAACAATTATAATGAACACATCACTTTAGTATTGCACCACAATAGTTATTAAGAGAGGAAGCCATCATTGCAAGAGTTATATTTCAGGAAATGAGAAAAAAGTTAGCTAACAAAAATGTTTTTTTTTTTTTTTTTTTTTTTTTTTTTTTGGTGTAACAATTATAATCACTTTAGTATTGCGCCAAAACAGTTATTAAGAGAGGAAGCCATCATTGTAGGAGTTATATTTCAGAGGAAATGAGAAATTCTCGTGTTGAATTAATTGAGGTTGTTACCAACCACTTTGAAAGCACGTTTAACGTGTATTGAGCGTTTTGACAAATATAATCATTGAAATTGGTTAATAGGTAGCTAATTATATATTAAACTAGTTTGAAATGTAATTAAATAATTTCTTGAAACTGCTAAAGCTAAGAAGTGATTTTCTAAAGAAAAATTGTTGTGTTTGGGTGCTCTCAGAATTCAAGTTCGTGCATTATTGTCGTTGATGACATCAATCACGTGATTCAATGGTGATGAAGGTGCATTATTGTTGAATTTAGTAGTTGATGACGCCAATCATGTGATTCAATAGTAACAAAAGTGCATTACGGTTGAATTTAGTGGTCGATGACGTCAATCACATGATTCAACGGTGGCGAAGGTACATTACCGTTGAATTTGTTGATTGATGGTGTCAATCAAATGATTTAATAGAGAAGAAGGTGCATAATTGTTGAATTTAGTGATCGATAACTATCCAACTGTGACGAAAGTGCAGTATTAGTGAATTTAGCTGTTGATGACGTCAATCACATTATTCAACGGTTACAAAGGTGTATTATCGTTGAATTTATCGGTGAATGACGTCAATCACATGATTCAACGATAACAAAAGGTGTATTATCATTAAATTCATCAGTCAATGATGTCAATCACGTGATTCAACAATGACGAAGGTGCATTTTCATTGAATTTATTGATTGAGATCGCCAGTTACGTGGCTCAACAGGGATGAATGTGCAAACTTTTGTCACATCATTGGTTTTACTTTGAAATAATGATAGGAATGAATAAAAACTAGAATTCCAAATAAATTGATTGTTTGGCTTTTACAAAATTGATTAAACAAATGAAGGTGTTAAATTCTCTTCAATTTAGTTTTAACGTGATCCATGAAAATCAAATATAAGACACATTAACGTCATATAGTTTAATGAGAAAAAAAATGTGCATTTATAAAATATATATAGATAAAGAAATATATTTATCATTTTCCTCTAATAAAATGCAATTTTAACTATCATATTAGAAAGAAAAAAAATTGAAAAATAGAAGAATAAGTACTCCATGTAGGGTTTTATTTATTTATTTATTCAGCTAGGTAAAATACTCTCATACACTCATTCACAAATGCATATTATGGAGCTGAATTACGGACCCAAAAATATATGATGGGGTGGGCTAATATATTTTGAGGTAGGCTAGTACTACTAATTTTTTTTTTTTGGCTGGGCTAAAATTACCTATAATAAATTTAAATTTTTTATTTTTATTTATTTTTCTTTTTTTGGGTTTGGGGGGGGGGGGGGGGGGAGGGGTGAACTCTTCGTATTTTTTTAAGAAATGAGAAGTTATACCAACTAAACTAATAATTTATTGTTAATTAATTAATATATACATATATACATGATGAGCGCTGAAAAGTGCGTATTTAAACCCCTTAAACTTGAGTATTCTATAACCTCTATCTATCTTATTTTCCCATTTTAGACTAATTTCGTGTTATTTCCTTTTTTAGGTCAATAATGTTAAAACAGGCTAAAAATGGTTTCTTAAGGCCTTTTTGGAGTTAAACTAAGTCTTAGTAAGAATCTGGGGCAAAAGGAGGCTGATCTGGAGTAAAAAGGAGGCTGGTGCTGAAAATTGCCAAGTGAGATTGATCGAAGAAAAGTCTGATCAATCGAACCAACTTTGATCAATCGAAGAAAAGTCTAATCGATTGAAAATGTGCTGGCAGTGAGCTGTCTTATTCCCGCGCACCCAAACTCCACCTACCACATAGTTGCAAGATTAGATATTTTTGGGTTGTATTTTTGACTTAGTGACTAAGAAAAGGACCTTGTATTTAAAGGGAATTGAACCATTTTGTAGAAAAGCTTTTTCATTATTCTATTTTTACATTGTAATTTTATTTTCTCTCTCTAGAAAAGTTAGAGATTAGGGTTAGAAGAAAAGAGAAGAGTGGAGGCACCAAGAACACATCTCAAGATTTACACACACTCTCTCTCTAGAATTCAACAAAGAAGAAGAGGAAGAAGATGGAGCCATGTTTAAGGATTGCCCTTGAGGGTTCCAAGATCACACCCATGATTGGTTGTCAATTATACATCAACCGTTGCGATAGCACAAATCATTGTAAAATAGGGCTACTGGTCGGGTAAGTCGAACCACTAGAACTGCTAGTTTATGGCAACTTAGGTGTCTAGAGTCATTTTTAGAATGATAAAGGGGGTTATAGAGGATTTGTTGGATTGTCACTAAGATTATGAATTGAAAAATGCTAAAACATTAATGCTAAGAAGTAAAGAGGCAAAGACAATTAAAAAGAGAACTAGGGAAGTGAATCCGCACTAAACCAGAAACACATGCTAGATCAAGACTAAATTGGGGATAGATAATATACAAATGATGGTCAAAAATTATGTAGCAACACATGGTTGCCCTATAATCAT